TAGCCCAATGCCCTGGGACAAATGTTTAACTTCTCTGTTCTTATTTCCTTGTCTGAGAAATGAAAATGGTAATGATAGGAAGTTGGTTTTCTGTGGGAGAGAGAGAAAGAAAGAACTCAATAAAATATTGCTCCTGTCACATGGCAGGTACTTAGTATGCTGTCTCTTCTCCTGCCTCTCCATTCATCCTCAGAGTCTACACATAATGCTGACTGTGGTGTCTGGCATATAGCAGATGCTCACATATTTGCTGTTATGAATTGCAAAGGAGTGCTAAGCTAAAACTGCTTCTCTCTTAAAACTGGTATACATCTTGGCCTCCTCCTTAAAAAACGGAGTTCACTGCCAGGCGCACGCCTATGTCCCAGCAGCCCAGGAGGCTAAGGCTGGAGGATCACAAATTCAAAGCCAGCCTCCGCAACTTAGACCCTGTTTCAAAATTTTTTAAAAATTCAATAGGGCTGGAGATGTGGCTCAGTGGTTCAGTGCTCCTGGTTTCAATCCCGGTTACCAAAAGAAAGAGAGAGAAGGATGGATGAGTCTCGCTGAATGTGGATTCTGCAGTCCATCTGGAGCCCAAACTCTGGGGATTCTGGGAGATGGCCCCTGAGCTCCCATTAGACTGATTAACAGCAGCAGCCTACGCAGGAGCAGCTGGGCAGTGCTGACCCTGACTCAGGAGGGATACAGGGCTCCAGGCAGCCACTTCTCTCTGTCGTTGGTCACCTTGTCCTCCGTCAGCTTCCTCCTCCACCAGCAGGCTTCTCTGACCCTGCCTCCAGCAGCCTCTCCGCCTTGTTTTGAATAAGAAATACATACGTGTGGCTCAAAAGTCAAACAGTAGAACAATATGGACATTGGGGAATCTTCCTTCCACTTCTGCCTTTTTTTCTTTTCATCCCCTGATGGTAATTGCTTTTTTTTTTTACTTCCTTGTTCCTCCCAGAGCTTATTTATGCAGATACAAGCAAAAATGAATACAAACCTATTATTTTACTCCCTTTCTTGAATGTATATATATAATACCTGAAGGTCGGGGTGGGTTTGTGTGTGTGTGCATGCCTGTAGGTATAGGTATACAATCATCCCTTGGTGTCCACGCAGGATGGGTTCTGGGACACCCTGCAGGTACCCAAATCCTCAAGTGCTCCAGTCCCTCACAACAAGTGGCATCGTATTTGCATATAACAAACAAAATCCTCTTTTACGTTTGAAATCATTTCTTGATTACTTATAATACTTCATACGATGTCAATTCTATGTAAACAATTGTGACACTGCTTTGTTTAGGAAATAATGGCAAGAAAAAAAATCATACATACTCAGCACAGATGCATTTTTTCCCCCAAATATCTTCAATTGGTGGTTAGTTGAATCCTCATACGTGGAACACATGGATTCAGAGAACCGACTGTATACCTTTACCTTGACATTTTCACTCACAAAGAACATCCTGAATATCACCCAGGTCAGCGTATCAAGAGTCTCCCCAGTCCTTACTACCCCGGCACGGCGTCCAGTGGGAGATACACCATTGCTCTCTTAAGTATTCCATTCTAAGGGGCCTTGGTGACCACAGCCTTGAACAGGTGGTATCATGCCAGCTCTGTATTTTGCCCTGTTCCATAAGACTATTTCTAATTTCTGAATCTCCCTCCAAAGCTGGTAGGATTCTTAAAAATAGGGCATATTGTTTTCTCTTTAATTATATTCAAAGCACTTCAAAAAATACTGAAGTTACTAAACCAAGCACAAATAAACATGATCCCTTTCCTCATTTCAGGACTTACAACATGGAAGGAGAAACAGAATTTTTTTTTTTTTTTTTAGAAATCACACCAATAAGTACAGAATGGTGATGAGATAAGTGACATAGAGAAAAATACAGGAAATTATAAGAGCACAGAATAGGGAGATGGTTTTGGATCTGGGGTGAGGGATGTCAAGAGGGACTCCTCCACAAAGATGATATTTGAACTCAAGTCGTGATGATGAGGGACAGATAACTAAAGGTAGAAAGGGAGGAAAAGAGAATACTGTAGACAAAAAGTATAGCACGTACAAAGGATCTGAGGTTGGTGCATGTGCATTTAGGAAATGGAGAGGACACTAAATGTGGCTGAGCAGAGAGCATGATACATGGTGAGATTGTAGAAGTGGTCAGAGGCAAGACCATTTATGTGGGAGACTTTGGTCATGTCCAAGAGCAATGGGAGGTCATAAAGCTTTTGAGCAGGGAGGGCCATGATTTGATGGACATTGTCCAATAGTTATTCTGGCCATCAGGGAGAGAGCAGGCTGGAGGGAGTTAGAGTCTAGATCCTGGAGTAGGGTGTAGGAGATATTGATGGACACGAGTGAACAGAGCTGAGACACTTTGACAAAGCATATTGACCATTTGTCATTGATGAAAAACAGGCCACATAAAGTGCCATGGATGGTTTTGAGGATGCTGGTGGAGAAATCACATGGATGGTTATGCTTTTGCTAATGCCAGGATTTTGGAAGAGACCTAGATTTCAAGGGAAATATCATGAGTCCAACGTTTGATGAGTTGAACTTGAGATCCTTTTTGATTTCTTTTTAATAATTGTTATGTCTTATTCATGCATTATATTTATACATAAAAGTGTGGTTCAATGTGATATATTCAAACATGCACATAACAGATTTCACGCCATTTCAGTCCCCAGTACCTCCCCGTCCCCTCCCTCCCCCTGACGCCCTTCCTCTATTCTACTGGTTACCCTTCTATTTATTTTTTAATTGGTGCATTATAATCATATATAAAGTGGGATTCATTGTGTTATATTCTTTTTTATTTTTTGAATAAATACTTTTTGAGATCCTTTTAAGAAACGCAAGAGGAATCTCTAAGAGAGGCTCCATATTCAGCTTGACACTTAGAGGAGTGTTCTGAGCAAACAGGGGAGCCTTTTGCATGTAGGTGAAAAGTGAAATGTAGATGTAGAGGAGATTCCTTGGGCAGAGGGAAGAGAATAAGACCTGAGGAGGGTCTGAGAGAGACTTTGGGGATCTCCCTTGATAATGGGTTAGCAGAAGAGGAATCAGCCACAGGTATAAGAGACGAAAAAACAGAAGAGGAAAATCGTCCAGGCTATGCTGTAGAAGCCAACAGAAAATCACAACACAGCTGAATAATTAGTGCCCACAGGTTGATGATCTCATGTGCAAAACAGTGCATCATTCCTGCACCCGGTCCCACTTCCCATAGAGTGGTCTACTTGGACCTGTGGGCTTTTTTTTTTTTTTTTTTTGAGACTGGGAAGAGCATGGCATCAGTGTCTGGCCAGAGCCTTTGTGCTGCATTTTATTTTATTTTTTTAATTAGTTACACATACAGTACAATGATCTTGACATATCATACATTTGAATCAGATAGGGGAGATAGGTGTTTAGAGGCCACCTTTTTATTTTTCTGTCATTTTGGTGACCTTCTCAAAAGGCTATGTTGAACTCTGCTTTCTTTTCAGATGTGGGTACAATTGTCCTTCTATGTCATGTGCACCATCATTAGTTTGGACAATCTACACTTAGAAATGGACACATTACAACATCCAAAAGAGTGTTAGCTTGTTTCTCTTCTGTGCTAAGGCTGGGTTGTCTGCACTTAATTAGGTAATAAAACAAAACAACCCCATGTTGAGCTGAAGGCATCAGGGAGCCATAATACAAATATAGTCTAGCATTTTTAAAAAATTTTTTTAGACATTGATGGACCTTTATTTTGTTCACTTTTTTATATGCAGTGCGAGAATCAAACCCTGTGCCTTACACATGCTAGGCAAGTTCTCTACCACTGAGCCACAAACCCAGCTCCCAGTCTAGAATTTTAAACCTATATTCATATGACTGTCTGCCCTTCAATTAAAAAAAATTTAGGCCTAACAATAAATCAGACATTTGTGCTTATCCCAGTTTCTACAAAGGCTTTCCATGATATAGTTTTTAACTTTTCAAGGATTCATTCTATAAAATTAATTCTTGCCTCTTCAAGTTTCTGAAGATAAGATCATCATGGTGGTTTTCAACCTCAGATTTCATGGAACTAGAATCAAGGGTACCAGCTTTGATAGGGTAGCTTTTCTCTCTAGGAGAAGTGATCAGGGTTGAGGATGTATCGCAGTGGTAGAGCACTTGTCTAGCATCTGCAAGGCCCTGAGCTCCAGCCTCAGCACCATAGAAATAGAAAGAGACAAGGAAGAATAGAAAACGAACTGATCAGCAGGAAAACCATTCATTGTATTCTGAAAAAAATCACAAATAATAGATAAGTTGTATTATATATAATTACTGGCTTTTCTCCATGCCCAAGCCTGAAAGTTTGTCATTGAAGCAGGTTAGAAGAGAGTTACTACTATTTAAGGTTTGAAAGGGCCCAGGGAAGAGGGGTGCTGGTAGAAGGGAGGTGGTCAGATGGCTCGGAATCCTTGGTGGTAGGCAGACACAAAGGTAGGGACAGGAGGATGACTTGGTGCCGCTTATTCACTCGGAACCAGTCGTCTTTGCACATAACTGTAACATTTCAGAAAATGGCACTCGTAATGCCGGTTCTTTCCCTGCAGTGTCAAGAGGCATTGGCATTTACATTCAGGAATCCTATTACATGATCTTACTACTCAAGTACTCACAAGTAGAATTTCATCTCTAAAATAGTCAAAAGAATTTTAGCTGTATCTAGCCTTCCAAGAAAGCCATAAAATGAACAATGCCAGTAACAATTATGAAATTAAATTGGCCTTATAAGAATAAAAAAAATCAATTTTGCCAGTTTACATTCACAGTGACTCATTTCCATATAAATGACCTGATTTTATCCAGTCTAAAAAATGTGTCTGTAACCTTTTATATATATATATATATATATATATATATATTTACAGTTCTGGAGAAGAACTAGGTAAAAATATTTGAAGGCATGTTGGTATGTTTTGTTGATTTCTAATCACAATTATCTTTCTTTTCCCTTTTTTTGGCAGTGTATCAGTTACAGCAAGAGGCTCCTCGTCCCAAGAGGATCATTTGTCCTCGGGAGGTCAGTGCACGGCTATTTCCAAAACACCTTGTTAAATATGATGAATTGTCAGCGCTGAGTTAGTACTGGAGGGATTTCAGGTTTCCTGGGAGTTGATTTCTATTAGTGTTTGTTAACATGTCACCAAATTTAACATCTTCACAATCTATATTTTGAAATCAGGCATTATTATAAAAGTACTTACAAACTCATTTAAATCAGAAGCCGTACATTTTTAACCATGGCAGAGGTAAATCAAGCATCCTTTGTAATTCCCTCAGAATGTATATTCTGTTTTATTATTATTATTATTACTGTAGTTTGGATTTCTTAGCACTTCTTAAATGTTGAAATGTTTCCAGCAGAGCACATACAAAGAATAAGAAATATTTGAGTTCTCTGGGCACTCATATTTAGCAAGTTTTATTATTTGTCATATTTAGTTGACATTTTTAAAATGATAAGGCCTTACATGAAAAGGGGCCATATTTTTAATCTTGGCGATTGCTTAAAAAATATATGGACTCTATTTATAAACAAGAGAATTAAAATAAATTAAAAAAAAAACTTTAAAAAAGATGTTAATATGCTGTTTCTAAGTGTTCATAATCAAAAAGGTAACAGTGTTAAGAAAATGCTCTGGACTCATCAACAGCCTAACTGGCTCACAGAAGTTTCCAAAGTTTTCCTTCACTAGTTAGTTTCCTAATCGCCTGAAGTACCAGGAGTGAGGCTGAAAGGCAGGACTGAGGCTCTATTTCCTATTTTTATCCTGATCAGTTTCTTCAATAGCCAAACTAATATCCTTCAAACCAAAGGCCCACGGGCCCTTGTTCAGTTTTATTATTCCTTTGATTAAGTATAAAGTTGCAGAGAGCCTTTAAAGTACCCTGTGTGCCCTGTCAGGGGGGAAGATTCCAGTTCAACACTCCTGAGACTCATCTGTGAACTTCAGTACTCTCCAGGTCTGGTTTTGAACCTGTTTCAAAGATCTGCATACATTCCTATCAATAACTTAAGAGCAGACATCACTCTTTAATATATTTTTCTACAAAAAAATTTTACTTCTTGTAGAAGAGCAATGAAATTCATCAGGTAAACTTGATTTTAGTGAAGAGTGGACTGGAGTTTCTCATCCCAGGAATTGTACTAGAGAGGAGAAAATATTGATGGTTATGAAAAAAATCCAGGATCAGTTCCAATGTATTTGGTAGTCTGACCTTGCCCTGTCACTAACTATATAGTCTACTGTCCTTTGAATATTTGATAATAGTCAAATACAGGGAAAATAAGATAAATATCAATCTTCATATGAAATGTGCTAAGTAAGTGTGCTTTCAGTGAGACTCATTGTGAATGAGTGAGTCCCTAAGCTCTCCTCCAGTACTGCTCTTAGTGTTTCTCCATCAGAAAAATTACAACCACGTGCCGGGATATAGAGAGTTTAGGTATCTGAGGGAAAGAATATTTGTAAAATTCAAACACAACTGAGAACTCTGTCTAAGGGCATGAACAAAAATTCCCTGGGGAAGGCTGGGCACCAATGCTTGAGACCCTGGGCTTGTCAACAGTCACCCATTGGTTCATATCATATGTTCTGGAAATGGATACAGAGATCTGGTTCATTTTAGCTTTGGTCTAGGTATTGGAAATACAGCTAAGAACTTGGCTTTCAGCATTTTTAGTGTCATAAGAAAAGAGAACAGAATTACAATGTAACTCAGCACATTTTTAAAGTCTTGCCTCATGTGGGTGCATGTGTGTGTGTGTGTATGTGAGAGAGAGAGAGGACTTTGTGGCCATGTCACTCTGCCTTTGAGTCAGGTGGAACATCAGCAGAGGAGACGGGCAAATTCAGATTATCTTCAGAGCCACTCTTCCTAGGCTTCAAGTTTTACAAGTTGTCAGTGACAGTTTTACCTCCAAATACATCTCGAGTGTGCCTGCTCTCCAGGTCCAGGAAGCCATATTCATTTCTTCCCTGAGTTGGTGCAGGTCGGCAACCTCCTGTGTGGTCTTCCAGCTTTGACTCTTGGCACCCTGACTTCAGCCAACACCCGCACACTCTCTCACACACTCACACACACACACACACTCACACGTTCATCAACAGAAGCCCAAGTCATCGCTGTTACACATAAATAACACCCCTCAGTTGTTCTTCATGACTCTTAGTAGAAAGGCAAACTTCCAGGCTGAGCCTCTGAGCCACACTGTGCCTGTTGCAGCAGTCACCTCGCTGAAGCGCTTCAGACATCCAGTGGCCCACAGGAGTTTCCCAAGCCCTCCTTTACCAATGAGTTTCCTAATCACCTGAGCACAGCCACCATGTCTCTACTGAGTGGCCGACACCATAATGCTGTCATTAAAGGATATGGTACACGCGTGGCCTGTCTTTCCTTCTCATCTGTCTTTTAAACAAATCTTTCCACCTTTCTCAATTCAACTCCTTCATCAGGGATACCTGATTGATGCGTGGTCCATAGGTAGCTGGCCTCTAGAAATTCCATGTCCCATTTCTGACACAAACCCTCTTGTAAAATGGGTACTCGTCAGCTTGACTTCTTTGGAGGCAGCGTGGGGCCCAGCCAGCCAGCCAGGTGTCAGTCAAGGAAGGGTCAAGTGAGCTAGAGGAACAGGTGCAGCTGGGATGAGCCCCAGCCGAAGCAGCCACATGCACTTTGTCCTCCAGCGGAATGTGAACTGCAGGTAATTCCTGTCCCAACTCCTGGGCCTCCCAGGGGTTGGCCTCTGGGGAGCAGAGGCACTATTTCCTGTTGGATGCTGGGAAACTGTTGCTCCTGCTGGCGACGGGGTTGAGTCAAAGTCTCTGCCTGTACACAGCTGGCTGCTCAGGGACGTGCCTAATGAAGACAGAAAGCCTCCCCATTAGAGCATGTGGCCAGAGAGAGTGAAGCTTTATTAACGCATTTACATAAAGCCTTGAAGGCTATTTTGTTTGAACAATGAATATGGCTTTTTGATGTGTATTTTTCTAGTTCATCTGCCCTCTTAGCTATAGCTAGTTAAGAGTCCACGTCCTTTTATACACAGCTCTCTGCCCTCCTCCAGAGTCACCAGCCCATCTCCCGCTGCCACCTCTTCCCTGGTCCTGGCTGGGCTGTTGCAGTATCCCCCATCCTCTGTTGTCTCTGTGGTGACTTCCATGGTCTGTGGGTCTCTCTCAGGGGAGGATCCTCCAGTTCACAAGATAAACGAGTGCCCAGTGAAGCCCGCAGTTGCAGAGGAGGAAACAGTGTCATTCCAGGGTAAAGCTGCAGGCCAACCGCCTTGGTAACTGATTGTCAGCCTAGGTACCACCCTCCCCGGGGACTCCAGTGGGGAGCAAGGTGAGATGAGTGTACACACGGATTCCACAGGCAAACCCCAGGAGCCAGCAGGCCCAAGAGGGCAGGGAGCTCAGCTGCAGCGTCAACTTGGACTTGTCTTGACTTCTCGCTCCACCGCTTTCTAGCTATTTGTCTCAGAGCCAACCACTGACTCTCCCAGCTAGATGGAAGCTGAAGCCAAAGGTGAACACCTAGTTTTCTGGATCGCTGTAAATATTTCAAGTGTCTACTGTGGTTCTTGGCCCATAATAGAAACTTAATTAATGTACAAGATTCAGGGCAGATTCCGCAACCCCTGGAGAGCAGGCTCTGAGATAGTCACTGGGGACAGTGGGATCCATGGCAGTATTCCCTGAATGGAAGGACAAAATGGCAGTAAATTCACAATAGCCAAGCTATGGAACCAACCAGTGCATTCAGCAGATGAATGAATAAAGAAATGTGGTACATCTAGGCAATGGAATATCACTCGCCATAAAGAAGAATGAAATCATGCTATTTGCTGATAAATGGATGGAACTAGAGACTATTATGCTAAGTAAAATAAGCCAATCCCCCCAAAAACAAAGGCTGAATATTCGCTCTGATAGCAGGCGCTAGCACACAATAAGGGGGGCAGGGAGGGAAGGTCGCAGGTTCGTTCCCCGTACGGGCCACCAAATGCCACAGTCTGGCTGGACACAATTTTAGATAAAGGGGAATGAAGGGAAGAGAGGGGGAATGGGAATAGGAAAGACAGTGGAATGAATCGGACATGACTTTCCTACGCTCATATGTGAACACAAGACCAGCATAACTCCACATCCTATACAACCACAGAATGAGAAGTGTACTCCATGTATGAATGATATGTCAAAATACATTCTATTGTCATATATATATGAAAAGAACACAGACAATGGCAATGGAGAGAACTAAGCAAGATGCCTGGGCCAGGAATTAAGCCACCAAGAGGAAAGATCCTGAGGCTGAGGGACAGGAGGTACAGGCAGCTAGACAGTGGGCCTGGCATCAGCTAAGCCGGGCAGGGTCAGCCACTGGTATAGCAGTTTGCTGATTCCTTGAGGTTCTTCATTGTGCATCCACAATGATGCATATTAATTGAGCTGCTGCAGCACCTGGCACTTTGCAAGCACTTCCTGGATGCTCTTTGCCAAGAGATTCAAGACGTCTTCCAGGATGCAAAATTCTCACTTGCCCTTTCGGTCAATTATCCACCAGTCACTTCATAAGCATTTATTAATTACCAAATGTGTGCCTGGGTGGTCTGCCAGGAACTGTGCAGAAGAAAACTGACTCCCAAATTTGTTTCTCTAGCTAAGACCTCCCTGTGGGCTGCAGCCACCTCTGTGCATCTGTGTGCTTGACCTCTGCAGGTAGATGCCTCACAGGCCATCATGGGCCTAGCCTTCAAAAGAAACCTGGCCACTCCATTCAGCGGCACCCAACCTCGGAAGCCTGGACTCCCCTCAGTCCTTTCTCTTCTCTAAGTGACAGTTTTACATCCACATTTATCTCACATGTACCCACTTGCCTCCAGCTCCATATCATCAGTTCTTGCCTGAACTGATTGGCACTTTCCCTGCAGCCAACATTATTCTCTCTCTCTCTCTCTCTCTCTCTCTCTCTCTCTCTCACACACACACACACACACACACACACACACACACA